GCCTACTTCTGGAAGGCATTGAAAAGTAAAACTGTATCTAAAACGTTCTCCATGCATGCATTGAAAATTTGAATAAGTACTTTAAGTATGTCACGATTGATAACTAGCCAACATAGTTACATAAATATTGTCAAAACCTTAGGAATCGTTTAAAATAATTCTTCAAACTTAAAAATAAAATCAAGTGCAATCAAAGGATAAAAAAAGTTCGAAAATTTTAAGAATCGACCAGATCCGAGTCGTTTACGTCCAGTCCGCAAAATGAACCGCTATCTGTTTTGTCTGTACAATGTATATAACCACGTAAAAGAAAACGACTTCTGTGTGTCTACCAAGTGCACCTGCAGCTAATGACACACGTCAGTATCCAAGCTGTGACATACAGCTGTTTTCAAGATAAAATCAGAATGTCCATAAAGCAAAAGGCAACAGTCTAAAATATCTTGGGTAGAATGCGGTAGGGTACCCGCCTGCAATACTCGTCCCAGCTCGTTCCGTACTTGCGGCGGTTGTTCGCTTCGTCTCGGAATTCACGGTGAACAAGCAAAATTGTCAGATACACAGGGTAAAAGAATGGGATTGGGTTAGAGAAACCTGTAGGAGAAACAAGAAAATGTTTACAATTGTAGGGAGAATTTTGAAAACACTGGCACCATGGTGCATAGTTTATGCAAAGTTGTCACATACACCGGGTTAAACAATGGGATTAGGTTAGAGAAACCTGTAGGAAAAACAGGCATATCTTTAGAATTGCAGGGAGAATCTTGAAAGCCGCAACACCATGGTGTACAGTTTATGTTGAAATGGCAGAAACACGACAAAGCTAATAATGAGAGGCAGGCGAGCTACATTGTACATATAAAGCTGGTATTCAGGGGTTAACGTTCTTTCTTTTTCCAGCTGCCCTGCGATGCGAGTCGTGTTTAATACCCGTTTCAATAACACACGAACTCTGAAGTACAAAACCAATCTGACGATTGCGTTTGTGGGTTGTCGCTACTGTGAAATGTCATCCTTGCGGTACTGAGACTTACCACATGGAAAGGTCCATGCAAACGCCATGATGATGTCACCGAGATAGTTAGGGTGTCGTACCAGGCCCCACCAGCCAGAGGCTAGGAGTCGCTTACCAGTCGGGGTAAGAATAGTTTCTTGATCTGCAAGAAAAAAATAACTCAATCAATAACTTGGCATTCAGTCAATTGCAACTCCCATCAGAGATTCCACCCGAATGATTTCCCCCTGCTAACGANCGTGCACATTTTTATAATATAAATAAGCAGCCCGGCCTGTGAACATGTGTAAGCAGCTGGCAATTCTGCTTTCTACAGTAGATTAATTGCTACATAGTTCATGTTGTACTTTACCAACCCTCGCTAATAACAAATCCATCTCTGGACGTCACAATTCCAAACATCACAGTTATCCTAGCTACCACAAAACATTTTGACAAGGTTGTGTAAGATCTGGAGACATTTTCAACATACCAAATAGAGCAACAATTGCAGTAGTTGTTATCCAGGAGAGCTTAACAGGCTGGTCAACAAGATATCGTGCCTGCAAGGAATACATTATTGGCACCCAGGATATGTCACCAAAAGCCAACATGAAGCCAAATCCTTCCTCTATGATGTCAATTGTACTTAACATGGAAGACTGAAACAATAATAAAAATATTATTATGAAACTTGGAAATTAAAAATGGAAGCTGTGAAAATATCCAAACAATTTCTGTTGAGGGCACTGGCAGATCCACGAAAGATAATTAAGATCGTCCATGGCTGTTTTGGTGTCAACTTGATCCTTGTAAGAGCAGGCAAGATAAACAATTATAATCATCAAATTGCACTACAGGATATAAAGCTCATGTATTAGCAAATTGCAAATGCCACCCAATGGCACTTTTAAAAAACCCAATCCAAGATTTGCAGAGGAGTCAAAATTACTCTGTGCGTGGGTTTGAGAACTTTGTAAACTCTAAAAGAGTTCTGTTGAATGGATGACGCATCCTCACTCACCTCATAAAACAAGCAGTCAGCAACATAAATAAATTGAAAGATGCACACGAGTATCATTGCAGTCGACACTTCATGCGTCTTTTCGTATTCTTTCGCAGCCATACAGAAGTTTATCATTACCTGCACATACAATACAAACACTTGTATTAGAACAACAAAGCAGCATTTCATCAACATAATGAGTTTTTAGTTTTGAAATGGAAAATACTAAGCAGACAAAATCAGTTTCACAAGTATAAGATTTATCCACAACAAAGGCACCATTTTCATTTGGTTGTTGCTGCTTGAATCCTCACAAACCCAGAATATTTTGTGATCCATTTCTTGGTTCTCAGTAGAAGCTGGCAGCCGGCAGAATTCTGCCGGCTGTAAAGACAAATGTAGTCGCCAATTCCAGTTATTAAAATTTGCACACATGTAACAATAAAATTAAGGTTTACAGACTTATTTATGGTAAGTTCATAAAGAGCTTAAATACAACACTTTGCCCCCCAAATGCACAAAAATGCATCTTTGGCAACCTACAATTTTACACCCCCAAAGGCTGGCTCGGCCCTGTGGGCCTTGCTTTGCGCCACCTGTTATACATGCACTTTACTGGCCACCTGTGAAAAATTATATGGAGAACTCTGCATTCATGCAACATCTAATGGCCAATCAGATCATTTTTTGAGTGACATGATCATGGTATGAAGCCATCAACAATGCACATGGTCTACCACTCAGGCTACAGCTTGTCAGGTTGCCATAACAATCTTGGAGCTTAGTTCTCATTTTTGTCACAGCACCCAATAAATGAACTTATACAGTGTATACACCAGGGCCTGGTTGCTTGAAGGCTGGATAATGCTATCCACAGGATAAATCACTATCCAGTGGATAAATGTTAACAAAACAAACCATACTATCCAGTGGATAGTAGGCACCTTAAGATACTAGGACAGGACGAGCTAGGATGGCCACTGGAAGTAAATTTACTCAACCAGGCATGCGCACGAGAACTCTCGACTCATCTCTCTGCTGCCCTCGTCTCGTCAAGGACACCATTTCACCCGACTAGCCGCTGTATCGAAAACATGAGTACTTTGCTCTTGTTTTACCCTGACAAATGTTCCAATCAACCTTATTTTCAGTTATATTGATATGAATGTTTATAAGGTTCACATTTTTCATGATTGTAGTGTAGAATACTATGCTGAGATACCAAAATGTGAATAAAAATATTCCTTGTCTTTCATTTGTATTTCAGTCACTGTTCAGACGCTGTCACGAGTGTGCAAGCTCAAAACAAGATATAAACTGTATGCATTGAGAGTACATCAGTGTAAGTACAGTCGATTAAATGTTGTAAGAATGAATGCCATGGAAGCATCTATCTAGCAAATAAAATACACATTTTCAAACTGATGTTTAATTGTTTTTTATACTACCCGGATCGAACTTGATGCAACGTTTGTTTCATTTTCATAATGCCTGTTACAATTACAGATGGAAATTGAAATATTCACCAAAAGTCAGGATTCCTCGGCGACAGAATTCTCAAACGCTCTGGTGGTAAAAAGCCATCTGAAGCTGGTCGAAGCTGTTTGCTTCGCTTATAAAGAAAAAGAAATTCAGCATCACTGTTCACGGATAAGATTTCTCTTCTTTTGTAGTCTAAAGGATGTCATTGCTTCCATGAATAGCTTGTATGAAGTTCGAATTATTGACGTCGCTGTCCTTTACGAAAATACAAATCTTAAGCATTTTGTTTTTGGTGCCCCAACAGGACCTGCAAAAGTTTCCTGCCTCCACTGCCATTCCTGTCCTGGCCTTCCCGTCCCCGTATCTTAAGGTCCCTAGTGATTTATCAGGTGGATAGCGTTATCCACCTTTTGAACAACTTGGGCCAGATTGTTAATGCTGTATGTATATGTACATTTAAGTCTCTCACCCAGCCTATAAATCCTGGTCTAACTTCAAAGAAAAACTTGAAGTCAAATTTTCCCCATCGTGGGTTGAGTTGGTGTCCCATGAAGAAGTCATAAATAACATTTCCTGTAAGAAAAATGATCTCTACCTGTAAATTGCTGCCACTATACTGGCAAGAATATACATGTTATAAATAATTGTACATGTGAATGGAATAAAAGGTGAGGAATTGTTGAAGGGAGGGGGAGGGGGGGACAGAAGTATATTTACTGTACAATGTACACACTGTTCAGCTCAGAATTTTCCTTGGCTGGTTTCCATAATAATACTAGAATTTAACAACATTTGTTGAAATTCCACCAAGGTTTTCAATGATTTCATGGCCTGTATGACAGCTGAATTCCTAATAAATTACAATCTATACAATTTTAGAAGCCAGTACAAGGCTATAGTTGTCAGACCTGTGTTTCCTCCAGGAGCCAATCCTGTCTTCTGCATTCGAGCCATAACATAGACAGTGATAGAAACCACAACCGACCACAAGATAGTTGCTGTTATGATCCCAATGAAACATTCGTAGACCAAGGTAACAGGTACTTTGAAGTAAATGAGAGCAGCGAATCCAATTGTACTGAGCATCAGAGCAATGAAACCTGAACGACAGGAAAGTAGATTATTGTATTTGTAAGCATGCACAATAATTTATGCTAGAGGATAAGCTACGTTGGACCACACAATAATTAATATAGAATTGGTTTACGCTTAACATGCATATATTGAGTTAATGATGCACGCAGAAAAGTTTGAAGAGTATGAGAGAAGTGTAAGAGTCGCTTGAGGGGCAGCCAAGAGCAACACTAGTTTCTTGAGTTAGACACTTCTGATCTCTGTTGCTGGTATGATTTGTTTTGGTTCATTGTATTCCAAGGACAGGTTTAATTAAGCTCTACAAAGAGATGTTTGCTTTTGAGGGAAATATTCCTTGAACATGTTTAAATTACCTGTATTTGTTGTTTAAAACATCGCAGAAAAGGTTTCTTCCTTTAAAGATGTCAACTTACATGTAATCTTTACACAGTATTAAAAATTTGAGTTCGATATAAGACAGTTCACATACAACAGCATCGATTGCAATAAACAGACAAATTAGACATAATCTTCAATCAAAGCAAAACTGTAACTTTGATTGCACATGGAGCTGAGTTTATTGTTAATGGTGAATGTTTCTTATGTAAGATATTTGATATCGTGCAAACTTGCAGGATAGAGGAACAAGCTTTTCTGAGTCCTTGCACGAATGGTCTATATAAGCAGTGGAGACTGTCTTTGATGCTTGCTAGGAACGTTTCTCTTTACTGCATTTGCACTTCTGTTATCATGCCTGATACTACAGTGTGTACTGGTGCAAAGCATTTAAATACCAATAACATAAATAGCATTACCATTCATTCTGTAATCAAGGGAAGTTCCATCAGAAAGCACTCGTCCATATACAACCTGTGACAACCAAATAACACAAATTATTATTTGAAAACAAACACAGGAAATCCTTGAATT